AATTTTATACATTTGGTGTCCTGTAGGTCTCTTGTATTTGGGTTTCCAATCATTCTTCATATTTGGGAAACTTTCTGATATTATTTCATTGAAGAGATTATGCATTCCTCTCATTTGTATTTCTTTGCATTCCTCTTTCCTGAAAAATATTAGATTTGGTATTTTGGTGTTATCCCATAATTCTTGGAGATTCTGTTCATGGTTTCTTACCATCTTCACTGTGTGGTCAACTGTATTTTCAAGAGTGTATATTTCATCTTCATTATCTGAGGTTCTATCTTCCAAGTGATCTAGTCTGTTGTTGATGTTTTCTATTGAGTTTTTTGTTTGTTTCCTTTGTTTCAATTTTTTCTGGATTTTAATTTTAATTTTAATTTTTCAGAATCTCTGTCTCTTTCTTGAAGTAATCTCTTGCTACCTGTATGTTCTCTTTTATCCCTTTGTTTGAGTGACCAATTGTTGCCTATATTTGCTCTCTTATGTCATTGTTTGATTTGCAGATTATTTTAATTATGTACATTCTGAATTCCTTCTCTGACTCTGACATTTCATCTACTGTACTGTTAATGGATTCTATTATTGTATCATCTTGGTTTGTTTGAGGAACTTTCTTCTTTTGTCTTTTCATTCTTTCTGAGAGTCTTCCCTTCTAGTAGTGCAGATCCTAGGTATTATAGTTTCTACCCTGTAATCTTATAGTGTCCCTGCAGGTTAGCAATGTTTCACCACTAAGAGTGAGATCCATATTAACAGCACCCAATGCAAACAATATACAGCCTTAAACCAAAGAGTTCCTATTTAGACAATTATATTTTTGTCACAATAAACAGGAATGTGTTCTATCTTTATATGCAATATAAACAGTAGGTTTGATAAAAGTATCTACAGATTCCAATGGTGGACAAAGAGAGAAACAGGGGTGGGTGTAGGGTATGATGTTTGTAATAGTGTGGATAGTTTATGAAAGTAGAAGGTAAACATATAGAGGTATCAGATCATAGGAAGAGTAAAAATGAATCAAAAGAAGTTAGCTGTTAACAGGAGAAAAGTGAGAAAAAAGTGACCCAGTGCAAGGCTCTCTCCTGCCTCTGTAACAAGATGGTGGCTATTAGCACACCTAGCAGGGATATCTCTGGTATAACCAAGCCTGCAGCAACCTTGATGATGATCTTCTGGGTCCTGGCTGTTGTCGCTAGATGGAAGCGGCCATTCTCGGTCTTGGTGGCAGGGTAGCATCAAACCTGTGAGTACCTTGGTGTTGGGCTTCCAGTCCCCTGCCAGTGTCTGAAGATAGGAGTTGCTACAACTAAAGATGGTGGTTGCAGCAGTGGGGGTAACCTGAGATGCTGTAGAAGGTATCCCAAGATGTCAATGAACACTTTTAGAGATGGGCTGAAATGGGAGACCAAACGATGGCTTTAGGTGGCCTATTTGGAGATGTAGCGCTGTGGTGTGTGGGCATGGTCCTTGGCATGGTGAGAAGTCCTGTGCCTGGACCTGCCTGGTCTCCACAAGGGTCCACAAGTCTGTAATGGGCCTGCCTGGGCTCTGCAAAGATCAGATATGCATGGCTAACCTGGGCCTGCCTGGGCTCCCGAATGATACTTCTTA